AACCCTCGGCATGAAAACTGTGCCAGCCTCACCTGGGCACTGCCCCCTGCCCGCCACTCCCGAGAGGGGTCAGAAGTACAAGCTTCGAACTCAGACAGGCCTAGGTTCAAATTTCAGCTCTGCCTAACTTTGCTACCTGTGTGACCTTGGGCAAGTTAGTTCTAAGCCTCAGTTTCCCTCTGTGCAAAATGGAGGTTAAAAAAGACCTGGGGTGGGGGGAAGAGCTGGACTGTTGTAAGGATGAAAGGAAATCATCAGTGTAAAGTAGCTGGCACAGGGCCTGGCACTTAGAAAGTTCCCAATAAAACATGGCTAGGGCTTCCCTGGTGGCGCAGTGGTTAAGAATCCACCTGCCGATGCAGGGGACACGGGTTCGAGCCCTGGGCCGGGAAGATCCCACAGGCCGCGGAGCAACTGAGCCTGTGCGCCACAACTACCGAGCCTGTGCTCTAGAGCCCGTGAGCCACAACTACTGAGCCCGCACATCTAGAGCCCGTGCTCCGCAACAAGAGAAGCCACCGCAATGAGAAGCCCGCTCACCGCAACTAGAGAAAGCCTGCGTGCAGCAACGAAGACCCAGCGCAGCCAAAAAAAAAAAAAAAAGTTGGTGATAATGTTGAAAATAACATGGCTGACATCATCGTCACCACCACTGTCACCATCGTCATCACCACTGTCACCGTCTTCAGCTTCGTCATCAGTCTCACTGTCACAGCCATCACAGCATCACCATCATTACTGTCACCTTGTCACTAGCATCACTGTCGTCATTATCAGATCCACTGCCTATATTTCCTCTCAGCGTCTTAAGTAGCATCACAAACGCTCCCAATGGGTTTGTACATTCAGTTTCTGAGTTGAAACCCTGTTTGTTCAGAGGTTCGTTTTAAAATCAGCTGCTAGGAACTGGGAAGGCATTTACCACAGAATTAATATTACATCTGATGGCGAGGTTTCCACAAAAACTCACTTAACCCCCAGCATAGCTGAAATATTGAACATTTGCGGTGAAAATAGAAAACAACACTGTTGCCCTACAGGAAATGAAAGACAATGGGAAAACAATTCAATAAATACAAAAATCTACTTCTCATTCAGGCTGGGAGGCTGGGGGAGAAAGAAGAGGTGGCCAGAGCCTTTTGTATCTGGAATATGGACCCATGAGCATTTGTAAAGTTCCAAAGTTATAGCTGATTGGCTGTGATGCGTCATTTCACTTCAGATCCTACAGTTTTCTTTCTCCGTGACAGAAGGGCCTGAATAGCTCTCTCCTCTCCTGCCTAGCTGCAAGATTAGGGGCATTTTCTCAAAAACAAGGGAGGGGTGGAAGAGGAGAGCAATTGGGTAAGGACAAGAGGGAGAGAGAAAGCAGAAGAATTTTCTGAGATAACTGGGCAAGAGTTAAAGGAAAGAAGGTTGCTCAGCTGGAAGAGAGAAAACCCAGAAACTGAGGAAAGCGGTGAGAAAAGCGCTGAATGACCTTTATTCAGCTGCCCAAAAGGGATCGCTGTTGAGCTACAACCACTTGGTTGCTGTGCAGCGTGGTGGAGGGAGAGGCGGGAGTGGAGCTTCCCAGCAGAATGAGGGAAAATAGGAAATTGTTCACCAGCACTAGAGGTACACGAGAAAGGTGATCCGAATTCGGGGAAAGCTTCTCCCATGCTTTTAAAACCACCAAGCACATTCACTTATGACTTGACTTGTCAGTCGTAGAAAACAACATAGACTAGTCTTCTTTTGGTGCCTGATCTTTGTCTTTGCTTACCTCTCAGCCCCTCCTTGGGCAGTCAGAATTGGGTTTCCTCTATCAGAATTGGGTGTTCCAGAATGGAGCTGATAAACTCATTCTCAATGAGGTCTATGACTAATAGGTTCAACAATTATGTTTCCTTTATTGGTATAATAAACTGAATTCAGTCAGTGATAATGCTATGGACGAAGAAATGAAATCCTAACTGAGCAATTTCAGATACCAACCAAAGGGAGAAATCTTACTTATCTTGAAATCCCTCCACAGAGACGAGAGCCTACAACTACGACCAAGTTTGCTGGCTCCATTAAAAGGCACTTGACATGCAAAAAGGGGATGGGACATGGCCTCAACCTTTAAGCCTTCAGAGCTTACAGAGGAAGCGAATGCGAGTCAATTCTTCATTCCTTCCTAGACTCAATCAACAAACACTTGCTGTTCACATACCAGGAACCACATGAGTATGTGGCTCCCAGGTCCAGAGGTTTTAGCAATATCCGGAACTGTCTTCACAGGGCTCTGTTACTGAACTGGCTACCTCCTCCAGCTCTGGTCTCTGTCTCACCAGGTTTCTCTGCAGAGGTTAGGGGCCTCAAAGGACTGCACCCCCATGCACACATGCTACTGCAATGTCACAGCCACGGTGGAAGCCTAACGACCACCAACTGTGGCAGACACGGTAAGCGGGGGAGGGGGGGGGAAAGCTGTTGGGTTTTGATGATCCCAACTGGCTCCTTATCTTAGTTTGGGCTCCTCCACAGACTGGCTTGACTGCAAGAAGTTTCTTTGGCAGAAGATCTAGAAAACACCAGCAGAGAAGTGAAGCAGTGAGACTTGGAAAGGAAAGAAGCCAACTTATCAAGTTAGTTACCACCACGGGCAACTGGGGCTCAGCTGCACAGGTAACGCTGGGAGACAGTGGAGAACACCTGCCTGGGAGGTGGGGCATTTTTTCACCAACCCCCAACCATCAGACGTCAAGGGCTGCTCCTGGACGATGTGTTAATTCCTTGGCACTTCCAGCCAGCCCAGCACGCGGGCCTAGGGCACTCCTGAGACTAAGAAAAAAAAGCCTGAGGGAAACCACAGGTATTTCCAGTGAGCAGCCTTTGGAGTACAGGGGTCACTCTGAGAGGGCATGGGGACAGGATGTCAACCATGTCTGCTACACCAGCCATGCCCTGGAAAGTTCTAGTGCTTATTATGTGACGACTCAAATGTCACCAGCTCAGGCCACCATGACCAGGTGTTTCCCCAACTGCTGGCACTTTCTATGAGCCCTGTGAAGAAGACACTCTGTTATGGTAACAATCTCCAAGCCACAGAGGGATCTGCTAGAAGTGTGCCTTGAGATCTCATAAAGAGTCAGGCACATGACGAGGCCAGAGACAGCTCCCTTTCCAAAAGCAAAATGTTCCAGAGATGCTCAGCTTGGCTAACGTGCTCCTTTGCTAGAATATAATTTGGGCCCTCAAGAAGGTTCTTTTAATCATATTTGTGCTGGCTGGAATGCAAGATGTTCCTGGGATGAGTCATAGAGGGAGTTTCTCTTCTAGTGATCTTGTGTTCCAACTCAGGGCCCAAAAAACAATAAATAAACAAATGCCACTTCACTTCAACAGCTGCATACCGCCTAAAAATAATAATAATAGTAACCTCGACCTGAGAAGTACACAGACAATGCAGGAAGGGGGCGGAGAGTGCTCGTCTTTTCAACAGGGAGCCTTCTTTCTGGAATTCTGTTTTGTCAGAAGCACCCCTCTGCCCGGAGACAAGCTCTCTCAAGAACAGAACAAGACACTCTGCAGAATCTTTGGGTTGGTGAGTCTTTGGAAATTCTAGAAATGCACTACATTTATCTTAAGGCAAGTATCGTGGTTGCAGCTAATATAGCATAAACAATGCAAGGGTGCTGTATGGGGAGGAAAAGCTGCAGTGTAACATCTGGCTAGTCGACGATGAAGATTATAGGTGTTATTTCTTATTTTCTTTCAGGGAAGAGTTCTGGAACGTGTGTTCACACACACACATGCATACACCCCACGGTGGGCAGGCTGATTCGAATGAGTCCGCCTGTCGTCCCTCTAACACTCAAGGTGGTCCCCAAACCAGGATCCATGCTAATCCTCCTTTGTCCTCACCTGCTCCACCCCTGAGTTCCAGTCATTCAACCTTTACTCCCAGAAGTGGCAATGTGAACCGGGTCTTGCCACGGGGCAGGATTTCAGTAGAGGAGATGGTGGAATGAGCGGGGCAGGCGGTCCAGAAGCAGGAGGAAAGGCACCAGAGGAAAGGTGTGGAGCCTGGGGCCCGGGCCTGGGGAGGGCCTGAGGGAGAGACAGGGTGCTGTGAACATGAGAGGCGTGTCTGGCTCCTCCAAAGGGGGTTAAAAGTTGCCCTTCGGCAATGAACCCATGCGCCAAAGGATTGCTGACTCAACCAACACAATTTTGATGTTTCCACAGGCCCTGCTGAACAGAAGGTCATGATTCAGTCATGAGACCATTAGATAGGGAGGAAAAGAGTGAGTAGATTAATTTGCGGGACTTAGCTAGCTCTCCCCTCACCCCCCCCCTCTCTCTCACACACACACACACACACACACACACACACACTCACACACTCACACTCACAAGATGAGAATAATAAGCTATTTACTAAGCATTTGCTTATTATGTGCCGGGTGCCCTGCTAGGCATTTCACATTCATTTTCTCGTCCACTTTCTCAGCAGCCCCAGCACATCTGTACCACCTTGGTTTGAATTGGTTTGTTCCCTTTTCTTTTTCCCCCACAAACTGAGCTGTGAATCCCCAGGGAATGGTTGCTCTGATGCGAGGAAGGGACAGAGCTTTCCAAGAATGTGAAGGACACATTGCAGGGAAGGCAGGTCTGGGGGACGGGAGAGGGGAAGAGAGGGCCCCATGTGGGGGGCTGCTGAGGGTGGCGAAGGGGGAGTGTCTTCTTGCCTCTGACCAGAGCTTAGAACTCCCTGGCCTGCTTCTGCCCCTGCAGCAGGCCTCAACCTGAGCTCCCCGCTCCACCACTGCCCCTGCACCAGCCACCCCTGGCCCCTGAAGGACAGCTCTCTCTTCCTAAACCTCAACGAATCCCAGGTAAGGGTTCATTCCCACCCTTCCCAGAAAAGGATGTCATCTGCGGCCAACTGGCCAGCTGTTCGCCATACCCATCTCTTCATCTGCCTGGACTACGTTTCCCAGCCTCCCTGGTAGTTTGGTGTGGCCACGCACCTGAGTTCCAGCAAACAGAATGTGGGTGGATGGAAGTGATGTACAGCACTTCCAGGACCGGCTCCTACCAACCTTCCATACACGATGCTCCAACCTCTTTCTCCTCCCCTCAGCTTGATGCACAGGGACCTCCCGGAAGCCACCTGATGGAGACAGTGGAGCCACAAGATGGAATCTGCACACCCGACTCACGGCTCGGTGGAGGGCGACCGGCCATTGGGAACACCCACTTTGGGCTTTATGTGAGGAAGGAGCAAACTTCTGCTGCACTTGAGCCGCAATACACATTCGACTTGTTCAGAACAGCCGCTAGCATCACCTTACCCGACACCGTGCTTCCCGGGACGGACGGCTCTGTACACAGCGGGTGCTGGGGGCAGGCAGACTTGCAGCCTCCGAGCAACTCGAGCCCCCCTGGCTGAAAACCAGAACGGCAGGAGCCGCCCAAGTGCTCAGAGCCCAGTTCGGAGCCTCCACGTGCAAACTTTTCTGCACTGAAAGCACTGACTCCCGTGGCTGTTCTTCCCGACTTCAATCGATTTATGAACATGGGTTCGGGACCATTCTTTGCTTGGTTCCTGCGTAAGTCTCCACTGAAAGAGTCCATTTCCTTGGCATTCACAGAGCCGGCGGGGTCGGGAGAGGCCAGGGGGAGTGGAGCTGCCATCAGAGAGCAGAGAAGGCCAGACTTTTAGCATCCTTCCGCCCTGGAGACCCCCAGGGGCCCACCCGTGCGAGTGGGTAGGGGTGTGGGAGGGAGAAGCAGCGGGGCCCTGGCTCAACGCAGACAAACAGACCCAGGAAGCTGGCGGGCCTGGCATCTGGCCAGAGGAAGCTGCTAGGACCATAACACCCCCTTCTCTCTTTGTACCCTTTGATGCTTTGCTGGTTTGAAGAGCAGGGAGGCCTGGGACTTCTGCCCTTTCCCCAGGCACACGGGATTCTTTATAGGAAAGGTCCCTGTGGATCTTCCTTTCGGGCGGGTCCACCATCCATGCTTCAAGGGGCTCGGCCAGCTTTCCCTTGGTGCCCTACATCATTGATTGTCCAGGCAAAGACTGCCCTTTCGAAAGTATCCTCCCCTCCACCAAACACATGTTTCACTACTCGCAAGCTCTCGTGCGATGTTTGACATTACTGCCCTCTTTCTGGGTTTCTCTCCAAAGTACGCATCCGTCTAAAGCCTCCGGGGCATTGCCACACTGGAGCAAACTTTCTACACAGTACGGGCACCCTCACCTACACTGGGACATTTCCTGCCCGTGACTTAACTTAAGTGAAGCCCTAACGCAGTCAGTCAGCCAGCGTTGTCATCAACACACTCCCCCCGGGTTGTGGGGAGGTGTGAGCTCAAGTTCAGACCAGGGAGGCCCAACCCTGGGCTGCTACCGGAGGAGTTCTAGCTATCCCTTCGTCTCTAGTAATACTTGAAGCCTGGCTAGCAGAGCACAGGGGATATCAGAAATGTTCTTTTGGTGGTAAAATGGGTGGCTTGCTAATTAGCGTGATGACTGTTAGAAATGGGTAAAATTAGTGATAGTCAAGATACACAGATTAAAGTATTTGAGAGGCGCTCCCCACCCTCGTAGGGTTGGAGAAATCAGGAAGGCTGTAACCAGCACCCCCAGGGATGGTTCCGACGCTCGCCACCTAAGTGGTCCCATGCCTGGCAACTGGTTTTGGAGGATTTCCAGTTGCCCAGGCCAACTACAAGGTAAGAAATCGGAAATGTCATATCCCCGTTGCGTGGAGCTTTCATACCATGTGTGATCACAGAAGCTGAAAAGACAGCAGGATTGTGAACTGGCCTGTGCCTGCTGGCTACTTAAAGCTTAGATCCTCAGCGTCTGTGTGTGAGTGCGCGCGTGGGGCACGATCTGTCCCCCTGCGGTTGTCATGGTGGCATTCTGAGCTCCCCTCGCGGGAGCCCCCTCCCTCCTCCACTCTGACTCCTGGCCTGCCCCTTGCTTTGTCCTGCCTTCCCCCCCGCTGGGGCTCTGGCCTTGAGCTTGCCCTGCGGCAGTCTGTAGACAGCCCTCAGGGCTGGAAAGACTCCGCTTCACGGACAGGGATGATAAGCAGAAACCTCCGCACCATAAAAATGTAACACTTCGCTTCCCCTCCACAGGACCTTTTCAGTGTCTGAGCTGGCATTGACTGACATGCTTGAAAATTCTTAAAAATGTCCTTTAAAAGAAAAACCTAAAGGATCATATCACATCCATTAGAATGACTAAAATGAGAAAGACCGTAACACCAAAAGTTGGTAAGGACATGGAGCAACTGGAACGCTCCTACACTGTTGGTAAAACGGCACAGCCACTGTGGAGAACTGTCCGGCGGTTTCTAATGAGGTTAAACAACTGCCCATCCTCAGGCTGAGCAATTCCACTCTGAGGTATCCTCCCAGGAGAAATGAAAACATATATTCACAAAAGACTTGTGTACAGATGTTCGTAGCAGTCTGGTCATAAGAGCCACAAACTGGAAACAACCCAAATGTCTGTCAACAGGTGAATGGATAAACACAATGGGCAACACCCACACGGTGGACCTCTACTTGGCAATAAAAAGCAGAGGACTCCTGCCACGAGCAATGACATCGATGTTTCGAAAACACTGTGTTGAGCAAAAGAAGCCAGATACAAAAGTGTACATGCTATAAGATTTCATTGACACAATTCAAAAGCAAGCCAAAAAATGTATAATGATAGCAATCAGAAAGTGGTTGCTCTGGGGAGTGGGGAGGGGGAAGGACTTTTCTGGGGTGATGGAAATTTTTATAGCCTTTTTCAGGCGGTGGTTACACAGATGCACACAATAGTCAACACTGATGTATCTGACCACTTAAGAATCTTTTGATTTTATGTTAATTGTCCCTTGATTTAAGAAACTAGACACTGAAAATACTATCAAACTGCAAAAAAGAAAAAACCACCCAAAATGGTTCTGTGTGCGCACATGGTGAGTTTTGGCCAATTCTGAGCATAGTGAAGGGAGGTAAGATGGAGCAGAGGATTCTGCTAGTAAGGGGGAGTAGGTTACCCCCAGGGCACCTGCCAGGGGCCCTTTATCCCAGGTACAATCGAAGGACGCAGCCTCAGCCTCCAAACAAATGCTCAATGAAATAAAAGAACAGAGGCCCCGAAGGAAGCTGGCCCAAGAGTGTGGGATCGCTATCAGGCTTTGAGCCAAAACCACTTTCCAGGAAATGCCAATATTTTTGTGTTTGGGAAAGGGAGGGAGTATTAAGGCAAGCAAAAGCCAAAACGTGTTGGTCTTTGCACAACTGCTGCCCGACTGAGGGGCCCTGTGGGAGAAGCTTCAAAGTGCTGCTACCGAGACCCCCTCCGAGGGTCTCTGGGGTGGGGCACCCAGAAAAGCCTGGGCAGGAGCGGTAAAGTTGGAAGTTCATTAAGGGCAAAGATCGATTTTGCATGGGGGAGAGGCATCTTCTATTTCCCTAGTAAGAGACCACAGCAGTCTCGCCCATTCACCGTGGTGTTCAGCCCTCAAATAGCCCAGGGCGGCTTTTTGACATACTGGCACAGGCATGAGCTTGTGAATCAGGCCTGCCAGCCGACCCCTGGCTCTGCCCCTTCAGAACTCTGAGGCCTTGGGCAAGTGACTCAGCCTCTCTGAGCTGCAGTTTCCCTGCCTGTGAGATGGGGAAAATAACGCCTACTGCCAAGCTCTCGACTGGAGCAGAGGCCTCCTCCAGACGAATTAGCATTCATTTTTAAATCTCTGGACCGCAGGTGCGCAGAATTTGTGCGGTCATCGTCTTCGGTTCATAACACTGTTCCATGCACGGCTTCCCTCTTTTTCATTTGTTTTATTTTTAATATTATGACATTTAAAATAACAAACACTCATGAAGGCATGGTCCACTCAACAACATGTGGGTATGTTTCTGGACTTTTTATTCTCTCCGTTCCTTTGTTTACCCCTGCACCAGCATCAGAGTGTCTTATTATACTTTCTGATGGGGCTAAGTGCTAAGAAGAAAGTAAATCAGGGTTAGTGACACAGGGGAATGGGGTGGGGGAGAGAGAGAGACACAGAGAGACGGAGAGAGACAGAGATAGGGAGACAGAGGAGGGGAGTGAGCAAGTTCCCGAGTGATAGAAAAGAAAGGCAAGGGACTAGATCACGCCTGGCCACCTACTTTTCATTTCACAAAGACTACCTAGTATAAGCCATTTTGGAGATGAGGAAACAAAGGTAGAGAAAAGGTGACTTGCCCCAGACCACACATCCGGGGACAAGATTATGGCTCGAATTCAAAGTCCCCTCTGTTCAAGGCGATGGTTCCTGACAACGCACTGTTCCTCTGGGCCCTCAAATGCCTCCAAGCGGCTTTCAGGTAATGAGCTGACAAGTAGCATATTGAAATGGTGTTCTTCCAACCAGAAGTTCTTTATTGCAAAAAAGATTATTAGGGTTCTGACCTTTTTTAATGGCCTTAGGGCCATGTCAAAATCCATGTGACTATTTCCAAGGTATTTTCTTATCATGGGTGATATTCTCAAGAGAAAAATCAAGGATACGCTGGTGATGTTCTTTGAAATTTGAGGTGGGTGCTATGACCACATAAGCAGGACAAAGAATTTTTCTTAATAATCTACAAATAAGTGAGAAATATACAAGTAGTAGATTAATACTTTTACATGTGTTTTAATGCCATCCCTTCAGTTCAACACATAAAAATTCTTACTCCTAAAATATGGATGGTAATATTAAGGTCAGAGAGTTTAAAGGCTCACCTACCCTTTTCTTTTGAAAGTCTGAGCCGGGTACAAGATAAAACCGGGACGGAGCGCCGTGACTAAAGACACTGGAGTCAGTCTGACCTGCATTCCCTATTAAACCTTCAGGGTAAATGGATTTCTCAAATCTGTTTTCCTCGTTGACCGGCTAATCCCTTCCTTCTAGGAGGAGATTTCAGCCCCTCCACTCTGCGACTCCTCTGTGGCAACAGACCCACGTGCTCTTTCCATCCTGTGTCCCCACACTGAGCTCCAATACGACTGCAGAAATTATGACTCAAGAGATCACAATTACTGACTTCCGAGAGCCTCTGACTTCTCCCGGGAGAATAAGCAGATGAGAAGCTCTACGTATTTGCAAAGAGACAAATTCAGGCTGTTTCGGAATCATGCCCAGGCTTTTCTCTGCCTCTCATTTTTCTTGTGAGGACAATCCTGAAAGTACACAGATGTGAGGGCGCTAATGGCAGAAGGGCCTGACATCTTTTGGCGCAGGTAAGAACCGTCTGCTTTTAGTTACTTAAGCTGTGTCTCCAGGGTGGATGCAACTAAAGTGACTCAGACTTTTGGCTGAGAAGCTGTTGAATGATTCCCTTGCTAAGCTCTCTGTGCTAAGCCACTCTTTGCCACTGTGGAAGAATCGGGACGCTGGTAGACCTCACAGGTGTACCCTCACTCACACCCCGAAGCTCCAATTGGAGAAAGAAAATACAATGCTGAAGCATAAGTAATCCAAGACAAACCCTTCCGACTGGTAGAGAAGAGCCTCACTTAATGAAATGGGTTGGAGATGCCCAGCTCAGCCACAGACCGGCTGCGGGTACAGGAGCAAGTTCCTGAGCCTCTCTATGCCTCAGTGTGCTCATCTGTACAATGGGGGTCAGAGCAGTACCTGTGCTGCAGGGTTGTGAAAGGGAGTGAGCGGGTTACCATGCAAAACACTTAGAACAGTTCC